TTGAATAGTCCATAAACTGTCCATTTAACGCAGCATTAAAAGACACGAACGTTGGGCATTTATTGTTGGGCTAAAGGGTCAAATAGGTCCCTGTACTCATATCAATAGCTCAATTGGGTACCCGAACTAAAAAAAGGTCCAATCCAATCCTCCAACTCTTCAAAATCGTTCAATTTTTTCGTTTAGTCGGTAAACTCCCGGTACTCAATTGAGCTATTGATATGAGTACATGGACCTATTTGACCCTTTAGCCTTTGAAAAAACGAAAAAATTGAGCGATTTTGAAGAGTTGGAGGATTGGATTGGACCTTTTTTTAGTTCGGGTACCCAATTGAGCTATTGATATGAGTACAGGGACCTATTTGACCCTTTAGCCTTTATTGTTGTAACGGATCAGAGGGCCTTCTGTTGCGAACAGAAGACCTGGAGCGTCTCTGTTGCGAACAGAAGACCTCGAGCGTCTCTGTTGCGGACAGAATACCTCGAGGGTTTTTGTTGACCCGAACAGAAGCGGAGTAGTTCTGTTGAGAACGTTCTGTTCCGGACAGAACCGGAGCGATTCTGCCAGCTTGAAAAAAAGGAACGTTACGGGAAGAAATCAAAATTAGACCGTATCTTTGAATGATAGATTTTTCGGACGGCATTCGTGTCCGTAGGTCGCACGCGCACACGAGTCACGGTTTTTCTTCTCCGTTTGGGATTTGATCGGCACCCCCCTGCGCGTAAGAGAGAGCTTTTACCTTTAGGAATCTTAACTCCTTAAAAGAGGCTTCCCTTTATAAGGGGGTGAAAATCTCTTGAGTTTTCCGGTGTGAGATAAAACACACTAGAAACCCATCATTTTCCTAGTTTTTCCATTTCAACGAATGAACTTCGAGAATTAATTTCTCATTCACCCGTTATCCGTTTTGAGTGTACCACATATCGAATTGTAGCCCTTAACAAGGAAAATCCGAAAACACTTTGACCCGACCCAAATCGGAAGTGGACCCCACTCAAATAATTGTCCCAAAATGACCATTTAATGCAATTTTTAACACATTTTTCCAACAGAGATAACAAAGTACTAGAAAGTATCATATAAGTACAATTATTTTAAGAATTGATTAATTCAACCTTTTGATCTTTTATGGAAAGTTTACTTTTTAAGAGTCAATGAAAGTTGTTAAAATAAAATATAAAAAACAGAAAAAGGAAAAAAGTTAGGAATGTGAAATCTACATTTTATTTGCTTTTTTAACTAATTGTATATTCTGCTTTTTTAGAATTCTACACTGTAGTTAAATATTATGTACATTTTCATATATTTTATTTATTTTAAACGTTTTATAGTATGCATCAATTTTGACATTTTTACTTCTTTATACTTTCATTTTTTTAAAATTCATGTGTTTTCATAAAAAACATTCAATTTTCTTAACATCATTTTTTAACTACTATACGAGGTCACGGTGGTCAGGTTGGATGTAATGTGAAAGTAAATGTATTTAAATGACACCATTACATTTTCGTAATTGGACCCAACTCATATGTTTGATATTTTTGAAGGAAATGTGAATTTTTTTCCACAAATTTATATTCAAAATATAATTTAAGAATGACATAACACACTTTCACATATTTACACCCCCCGTTTTGCCTGTTTACACAGGGATTGCGTCTAAAAAATGCAATTCGTATAAATGTATGATCGCTCTATTACTTACTGATTATAATACACTACCTTCAATTAATATATATAAACCTTTGAAACTCGAAAAGCTCCTTGGCAAAATCATTTATTCATCGCATAGGTGATTATTAGCTAAACATTTTACTAGAAGAAAGGATTTTAACGGGGGTTAGTATGAGACAGAAGTTGTAATTCTTCAGGCATCACTGTAACACGAGTGTTAGCTTACCATTTCAATTCTAGAGTCGATAGTACCAAAACATAACTTACTATGTCATGATTCTAAATAAAAGTCAAAATTATTCGTTACTTATTTACTATGTCTATCGATGAAATTATTAGAAACATTTACTTTGAATTGAAAATTTTAAAACTCTGAACTCGATTTTAAAGTTTACAATGTTCATTTGAGAAGGACCTATTGAACATTTCACGGTTTCACCTATTTGCACCCCCCTGATTTGTCTTCTTACGAAGGCAATTCGTCTAAAAAATGCAATTCGTATAAATGTAAGGTCATCCTATTACTTAGTCATAATAAATAATTTAGGTTCAAATAATATATATAAACCTTCGAAAATGAAAAAATCTTTGTCACTATCATTTGTGTATCGCGCAGGTGAAATACTAGCAAAACATTTCACTAGAAAGAAGTATTTTTAACAAAGTTTAGTGCGGGACATAAGGTGTTAATTCCCAGACATTGTTTAACACCTTCATATGTTAGTTTGTCATTCTAATTCCCGATGCGATGATACTCAAAATGACTTATTATGTCATGACCATAAACAAAAGTAAAAAAACAATTGTTATCGCGTGTTGATTTGTTGTTGAGAAAACCTGTTTTAGTCATGATAAACTTTGCGTGATTGTGTCTAGAGTAACGAATCGCCGATCGTTAAATAATCACATTGTACAATGACAGAGGAATGAACATTGAAATAAAAAATGTTGTGTATAAAGAAGTGTTTTATAACATTTAACAAGAAATGTAGTGTGTTTTAAGATTATATTTATCCTTCGTCAATGCATGCTACTTACTATTTTATGGGGTTATAAAAATTGTATAATATTATGTACATTTTTAAATCGTTTTCAATATGTTTCATTGTAGAGTTAATTATCAAAATAGGACTAAAAGTCATTCATTTTTCAAAAATAGGACCAAAAAATAAACTATGTTTGCATAGGACTAATTATGTGTACCTTGGACAATTATACCCTTATAGCTATTAAAATGTTTTAATTCCTAATAAAATAATAAAAAATAATAAAAAATCGTAAAAAATACTAAAAAATTAAGAAAAACATTGCGATATTAAAATTTTAATTATTTTTTTTTCAAAAAATTAAAAAAATTAAAAAAAAAATAAAAACTCAAAAAAAAAATCGCCGCCGCCTCTGTCGCCTCAGCACCACCACCTCCAGTCACCAGGGGAAAAAATGCCAAGTTCATTACGAATGTCATATTTATGGCAGAAAAAAATGAAAATGTTGGCATTCGAAAAGAGAAATATGCCACTTTTTTGGCATTTTCAGAAAAAAATGGCATTTTTCTGGGAAAATGGCATTTTTTTCATCGGCCGGAGGTGGTGGTGCTGGGAGGTAGTATAGGCGGTGGGAAAGGCATCCATATTTTTTTAAATTTTTTTTACGGATTTTTACTATTTTTTATTATTTTTTTTTTAAAATAAAATTATTTAATTTTTTTTTTGAATTTTTTATTTTATAAAAATTTTATAAATTTTTTAATTATATTTCTACGAATTTTTGAATTTTTTTCGAATTTATTATGAATTAAACATTTAATTATGGCTTTTGACTATTTTTAATGAAAAAATTACATAAATATTACCACTTCAAAACTCCCTTACATAAATATTACTAGAGATTATCTGTTATTTATATTAATAAAAACCCGTTTTCGTTATTCCTTTTGTGCCCTTGTCATAACGGTCCCTATGTTCTCAAACGCCACCTAAACTCTCGCCTTCACTGCCATCGAAATTATCGCCTTGAATTTTAATACTTTGACGTCCTTGCTTGGTAAATCGCATTACCAATAAACCCTGTAATTGATGCCACCACTAAGAATTCATTAGTTCATTACTTCTTCTCCTAAATCTAATTTCATTACTAAATAAATCTAGTAAATATGAATTCATTACATCATTACGTCTTCTCCTCAAAACTATTTCGTTAGTTAATAAATCTAGTAACTAAGAATTCATTACTTCTTCTTCTCAAATTACATTCATTACTAAATAATTTAAGTGCCTACGAATTCATTACAACATTAATTCTTCTACTCAAATCAATTTCATTAGTACCTTGTCCAGTCACTAAGGCCTGGATTACTTCTTTTCCTTAAAAAAATATTCATTACTTTGGTTTCATTACTACAACAAAATTGCTTTAAACACTAATCCTTCATTACTTGTTCTCTGAACTACAATTTCATTATTACCTACATCAGAAACTAAAAATTCATTACTTCTTCCACCACACACAAGACGATTACAATCAGTAACACCAAAACGTTTCTTCGGTCCCGATGTACACAAAATTAAAATTCATTCACACTTCATGACTGTAACTTCAGAATGGTTCCTTTGGTTCATGATTGTAAACCAAAGGACATCATATTCATGCTCAAGAAAAATATAAACAGAGAGCCAACATGCAAAATCAGCCTCTTCTTGACCTTCGCACCCTCAATCTGTGGTTTACTGCTTTGGGCTTCGAATGAATTATCTCCCTCCTCCATACGTTATGAATACACGCTTCCACCTGTTTATCCGCTAAATATACACCGGAATTCCTGAGATTTAGCCTTTCCATAACCGTTTTAGGGCACTCAAGTCATTTTCATTCATTACTAAGAGCATGGCGCACGTGTTCGTTTCTTTAGTCACATTTATGTAAACCCAATTACTATTAGTAATATTTATATAAAAAACTCATTTTTAATTCATATTTAATGGAAGAGTAAGAATGGAATGCAAAAATAGGTATGTTTCCAATAGGACTTATATGGTCCTATTTTAGAATAAAAACATAACAAGTCCTATTTTAGTTTTTGCCATAGTTTTAATCCTATTTGAACTAATTTCTATTCATTGTACATTAAATTTAATTTGTATGTGAAATTTCATTAAACATGCATCACACGAGTGTTCTACTAGTGACTTTTAACAAAAAAAAATGAGAATTTGATCTATTTTAACGTTTTCAAAGTAAGTGAAATTGCTATTTTGGACGGAATGGATTTTTTGGACGGAACCATCGAGTCATTTTTCTACCTATTTTAGCGTCGAACATCGTCAACCCCGGACGGAATTCGTTATATCCACTCGCCACTGCTAAACGTGACAAACACGGCCGACAGGTTACTGTCCAATTTTCTTCGGATTATCCATTATCCATTCGAAGTCCATTATCCACTCCCTACGAACGAAGTGGAGCTGCATACCTCACAATGGCATTGAAACTAATTTCTTTGCCATTTCATACTGCCATCACTACTGCCTCTCAATCAAAGCTGGCGCAGTTCTCTGGCTCAAAGTCGGCGACTTTTGTTCAAACTTTTCCGAAACACGTCGAGGAATCAGGTCGGAGAAGGCCGTATTTAGCGTGCATGAAATCGGAGGAGGATAACGTTTCAGAGGGGGAGAACCAATGGGGAAAGGTCTCTGCCGTGCTGTTTGATATGGATGGTGTGCTTTGCAATAGCGAGGAGCTGTCTAGGAGGGCAGCTGTGGATCTTTTCGCCGAAATGGGGGTTCAGGCTACTCTTGAAGATTTTGCACCCTTTACGGGCATGGGTAAGCCATGAATTGAACTTATTTATATTCAGTGGCACTTTAACTTAGTTACCTATGTCCTCTAATCATAACAATGCATAAAAATCTGAGTAAAAAATCAATACTCCCACGTTCTGGGAAGAGGATATGGTGCAGAGCCTACGCTCAGGGGCGTATTTAATGTGGACAATTGCCTCGTCTCCCTGGATGTTTACTACACGTTTCTTTCTGTGCCAAGAAAAGTGTTTTCTCTCAAAGTGCTTCTAAAAAGAGTTCGCTTTTGAATGTTAAGTATATGTTCCGAGGACAGGGGTCGATTAGCTCTAAAAATGGGTTTTCTGATGGGTTTCTTTTCAAATTTAAAGAAATTACTTGATAATTTTAAGAAAGGAATAAGTATAATATACAGAATCTATAGGATTCTACTCAAATTTACACCTTTATTGATTTGATAACTAATTTTAAGCTGTACCTTACTCATACATGAATCCTGTATTGATATGGAGTGATAATAATGCACTTAACAGGAAAGGAGAGAAAATGCGAATTTATAGTAAAATGGACCATGGTTCTAAGGGGGTGTTTGGAACTGGTTCTAATTCTGCTTCTTTTTTAAAGCAGAATCAGAATCAGTTTTCAGAAGCTGGTACCCCCAGCTTCTAAAAACACTGATTCTGAGAGCAAATTAGAGCACCAGAAGTGCTTCTGGAATTTCACTCAAACACTCCAGCTTCTGCTTCTTCTCCCTTAAGGAGCAGAATCAGTTTTGAGAATCAGATCCAAACACCCCCTAAATAGCCGCCCGCAACGTCTGATGCGGCTGTGGGCGGCAGTGCAACCGTATTGGGCCACTATACCGATGGGAATTCGATTCATAGGGCAAACCTGCAACGTAACTGCAATGAAATCGCAACCGGACCGCAACTGGCCGCATCTGTCCGCATTCGGCCGCAACCGGCCACAACATTACTGCATCACCGACATCGTTGTCCCCTAGCTTGATACCGTAAACGTTTCCTATCGTGTGCGTGTTATTGGGTTGTCTTGATTTGTGACGTCGTTGTAGTCTATTATTGGGAATACCCTTAACGCTTCCGGTAGTACACTTTATTTTAGAGCCCGTTTGGTAACCATGTTTTTCGGCTTATCAGGTTTATCAGTCAATTTTTCACCAAACATGTAACTTTTGATTTTGTGCGTTGAATTGTGTAATAAAAAAAAAAAGTAAGGTTGTAGTTATTTTTCTGGCTGTATTGGCTGGAGTTACTGTAAAAGACCATTTTATCTATTTTAACTTATAATTTTTTCTTTATTTTATTAATAAAATATATTTTAAATATAATTTTTTCATAAATTAGCAGATTCAGCCAAGTCAGCCACTTCAGCCAGAATTTCTTAAATTTCAGCAGAATCGGCCGATTCAGCCAATTTTGGTATTACCAAACAGGCTCTTAAATGTTTGATTTGGTAAGCTTGTAACATACGCCTAGTTGTCCAGTTGCCTAGTTGCGTATACATTATTTTAATGTCTCACACCGGTTAGTCCTTGTCTAGTTGTCTAGTTCACAACAACAACAACATCCAAGCCTTAATCCCAAAAGAATTTGAGGTCGGCTAAGGATTAATTTTATCAAAAGAAATAACCCTAAATTAAATTGAAGTAAAAACGTTTGTGAACTGGGACTGCTATGTTTTTATTCCTATTTCTAAATAGGAGTAACTATTTTCATATTTTGACATTACTATACTTTAAATATGACGATATTTTCCAAGTCTAACAATAATTATTATGTTCATATATAGAACATTTGTTAAAGAATAAAAAAAACCATTCTAATCCTATTTTGTGCGAATTTGAAAATATTTCATCGCAGCGGCCGCAATACGTATCGCAGCGGCTGCATTAGCCGCATCCACAACCGCATTTTAAAACCATGAAAGGGATGTGATTTTTACTGGATTTTATACCCTTATTGTTAAGTTTATATTGAGTTGACTATGAATAAAAAGTTGTAGCTTACTCATAGATGACTCCTTTGATGTGACATAGCGATAGTAATGCACTTAGCAGGGAAAGACAGATGAAGAAAACAGTGAAAGATTAACCCAATAATGCTTATTAGTATTCAAGCTATCTCTATATTAGAGTTCCACTTGAAAGCTAAAATTAGAGTTCCAGATTCATGCATGCATTGCTTACCCAAACTGACGCAGCTATGGAAGCACGAGATTAAACAATGGTTAATCCCGAATTGATACTCGAGTTTGCCAGCAACGAAACTAAAAAAAGGGCTTTCGGAATTCCACCGAAACTAGAGAAAACTCTTTGTATTATTCAGGAATGTGTAATGTCCATAGTAAAGTAATTAGCATCCTTAAATACTATCTAAGATGTGGTTTAAAACCCCATCTCAACAAGATATAAATTCTGGGAAAGTAGGAATTTAGAAAGGCACAAAACATGAATTCTGGGAAAGTAGGAATTTGGAAAGACACAACACATAAATTTAAAACCCAAATTATTATGAGGCTCATTTGACACTGGACATCAAATCTGCATAGTTCTTGGCATCCCTTTTCGGGGTCCCACCTCTGCTTCACTTTGCTCAGCCAAGCGCTCTACATCACAAACTGTAATAAAAGATAAAATACAAGAAATGCAACTAGTTAACCCACACTGCAGTGCGGTCTCCACGTTGCGCCGGTTCTGATAAGCCCCACTAAGGAGCTCTTCCGTGTCATGGAGAGAGTACAATATTGTATATTCACACATTCAAATACAATATTGTATTTCAAATCTTTTACTATATTTTATACATACAATGAGTCAATGAGAATATGTGTATGTCGAGATCATATTTGAGATTTTGATGAGGATAGTTTTGTTACAATTCTTTTTCTGGATATAATCTATTATGATTGTGATGTCATGGTTCTAATTAACAAATTGTAGATATATGTTTTTATGCATTGATTGGCGATAATGATGTAGAATTGTTGAATGAGCTCAAAGCTAGTAAAAACAAAAGAATTGAAGAAAACATATTTTATGCCTGCGAAATGAAAAACTAATTTTACCAATTGTGGTTCCTAATATTTTATGTAATAATACTCATGAGCAATTCATTTTAACGATCATTGGTAAAAATAAAACATCTAAGTTTCTCCGCTTCCTATTACAATTCTGCATGTTCTTTAAAATTTGATTTTTCTTTGATCTTTTCTACCCATCACCTATGAATTATTTGACAGATTAGAAAATATGCACTTGTTTGTACTCTACAAATGTTTAACTCAAGTGAGCAAAGTAAGAGTTTTTCGTTGAGTATTCATACTAATGCTTTATATTTTTTTTTGTAATAAACTTTCTGAGTATGCAACTATCGTTGAGGCTCCCACATACATCATAAGGAACAACCAAACAAGCTCATAATAGGAATAATGATTTAATATTGTTCATCAATTTAATTATTCAAAATAGAGGTTTAAATGTGTCATGTGATTTGTTCTGCTCTTGCTCCATTTGTGCAAAATTGATAGGAAATCACTGTGTATGAATTGAAGCAAAAGAGCTTGGTTGTATTTCCTGCATTGCTGAGTAGTTGCCTAGACCTTGCTTGGTCACAGTGTCTTTCATTGATCTATTTTATTTTTATAAGAATTTAGTCCTTATTTTATTCTCTGGCACTTCATTTCCTGTTCTACCCTGCTTGATTTCCCTTTCCGATAATCATTATGAAAAAATCAGGGGAAGTGAACTTCTTAGGTGGTGTTGCTAATGCAAAAGGTGTTAAGGGATTCAATCCCGATGCATCAAAGAAGAGGTTTTTTGAGATATATTTAGAGAAGGTAATGAAGTTTTTTTTGGTAAATATTTGCATTTACTTTTAGCATGTTGCATAGTTTTATAAAGCTATTGAAGCTTAAACCTTGAGGTTCACCTCAATGTGAAGCCATAGAAAATGAGCTACAGGCTTCCGCCTCTCCCTGTCTGGGAGAAACAAACACCTTTAATCCCATTTTAGCGTTTTAAAACCTTGTTGTATGATAAAAGCAACTGCTTGAGTAGCTATTTACTTAATACAAAGCTTTATCCTCTCCTGCAGTATGCAAAACCAAATTCTGGCATAGATTTTCCCGGCGCCTTTGAGCTTGTCACACAGGCATGTAATATAACTCCATACTTGATTTTTATATTGCTACCATGTGGTTATTATATTTAAGTTATCTTTTAAAACTTTTTTAATCTATTTGACAGTGTAAAAGCAAAGGTCTCAAAGTTGCTGTTGCCTCAAGTGCCGATCGCATCAAGGTTGATGCAAACTTAACAGCTGCTGGTTTGTCATTATTGATGTGAGCTATTGTTGTCATTTGATTTAGATATTTGACGATTGATTTTTCTTAAGCCTTTGGTGGGCAAATCCTATAACTCATTGTGTCCCAATATTTTCCCTCAAAAGATTGGGAAACAACGAGTTAGCTCGTTAATTTGACTTCATTAAGTTTTCTATATTAGTGGATGAAAGGATTGGTTTCCTTGATGATCAGAAACAAAGTTCAAATTGCATGAGTTGTACAGTTACCTTTTGTTTTATACTCTCATTATTGTGGTGCTCACCATCCTCCTCCTCGCCTTCAGGTTTGATGCTATTGTCTCTGCAGATGCATTTGAAAATTTGAAGCCTGCTCCAGATATTTTTTTGGCTGCATCAAAGATTTTGAATGTGCCCCCTTGTGAGGCAAGTTGGCATGCACAGTGACACCATTAGATCTCTTAAAAAATACATAAATTTCGAACAACATCTGATTGTTAACATGCTGTACTACATAATTATAATCTATTATGTATTGGTTGATGAAATTTTGTGCTTGGATATAATCTATTACTTGCTTTCAATGCAGTGTGTTGTGATTGAAGATGCAATAGCTGGCATACAAGCTGCCAAAGCAGCAAAAATGAGGTAATAATAGCGGCGTCTTATGTTCCAATGGAACTTCATTTTTGTGTGTGTAGCACTAGAATGAGAACGCCATAACGGATACCATTTATTCACATCCATCACTTGAGCAAAAAACCACATTGTTTCACAATGTTATGGTGTCCAACATCTCTTAGATTGTTTTCGTAATTGCATTTTTGTGGTGCTATGGTTTTCTAATAAAAAATGCAGATGCATAGCTGTGACCACAACAATAGCAGAAGATACTATAGAAGCAGCAGCTCCGACTCTTATCAGAAAGGAGATAGGCAATATTTCAACTGATGATATTCTCAGTGGTGGATCTGATTCGCATAGTATGTATCATGTAGTTCTAAAATCTAACGAGTAATTCCGTTTGTACCTTTCTTGATAATGATGAAACTGATCTGTGTATTCTAAGAGTAAGATAATCTTGTAATTGATTCCTTATTATTTAAACTTAAGGAGGTTTTCTTCCTTGGTAAACAAATTTCTTGTTTAATCTATTCACTCTTTATCAGCATTAAGCTTTGAGGTTTTACTTACTTTTTTGAAAGTTGCAAGAAGGCTTTGAGCTTTGATCTTCTGATGGGACTTCATGGGAGTGAACCTTATGCTCAACGTTAAGTTTTTAGTTTCTATAAAATATGAAATGAGTTCTTATGGAGATATAAATTGCAGAGGTGAAGATGCAGGCATCTCAATCTTTCAGTTATTATGCACCATCTTCAATTGAACCCAACATTAAAGAGATTACATCTGTGCAGGATAAATACCCCACCATTGATCCAATCTCCTGGTTTGGAGGGTAAGAGACACTTAACATCTTAATCAGTTAATTGAAAATTTTCGTACCACTAATGAATTACGTCCTCTCTCTTACTCTCCGTTAAAAAGTATCCCTCCATGGTTATCTTCAATACTTTTGATTTAAAATCTAATGATTATGAACCTCCAATAAATGCTTACACTAAATTAAATGTACACATTTAAGCTTCAGTAAGTTCAGTTCATCCCTTACACCAATGGATTCTAGCCATATACAGCTACTATGAAATACAAACCAGAAGTTACTGACTATGATGGCCCTGTTTTGTTGCAAAAGTTATCCGAATGTGGTGCTGCATAACCTGCATTCAGCTGCTGGAAATTAAATTTGTTTGGCCACCTTTTCTGTTAGACTGCAATACAAACTTCAAAAGCTAGTTAAACCTTAACTCTCTACGCGTTATGGATATGGCTTGCACCACTTTTTTGTTTTGTTCTGTACATGCATAGCTTTTATGCAAACCCATCCGCCACAGTCAAATATCCCAGAAAAAATTGAAAGACACTATGTGCCTATGTGGTGGCATCTTTTTTCTACCTATCAGCCAGTTTTTTACAAAGACTATATTATGTTAACTAGGTTGGATTAGTTGATTCTTAATGAGGAAAAACAGTTCATAAGGTACTTTTTCCGAAAGCTTGCTGTTGAACCACATGGTTTACTCGGGAGCGGGTAAAATTCTATTAGACTTTGTGCCCCATGATTTGTCGGGTGCATGTTCGAATAAAATGAAATGAGGGGTTTAAAATAATTGGGCAAATCATCGCAGGGAAAGACCAGTTATCCCATATGCACATATGTTCATTTTTTTGACAAATCAGCATGTTTAGCCATTCATTAAGATCAACACAATTCCACGAATTTCAACTATTTCGGTCAAATTTACCATCTTTTCCCTTGGAAAAGGAGATCGGAAATCATTATTTTGTCTATGACATAGTAAAAGGTCCTAGATAAGCTTATTGACCATGAATTATGAACACTATTTATTTATTTATGAGCATAAATAGTGAATTGGCTTTTTTCTTTTTCTCTTTCACTGAACTCATTTCTTGTCTTCAATATTACTCATTCTATGGAGTTTTTTCCAATGCATACCAGAAGCTTCTAAAGAAAAATGTTGTATGATATAAGCTTCAAATGTGCCTTTGTCCATCTAATGAATCAGAGATTTAGAGATTTTGCCATTGTTAGCTTTCTACTTTGTTCTCAAGTTGTTTTTTGCGACAGTATATCTGTTGGCTCTTGAAGACACTTGATTGGTCAATGAAGACTGTCAAGACTAGTGAGCAATTTTAACATGTATCACCTATTCAACTTCTAGATTAGCACAAGTATGATTTCAGTTTAATGTTGACATGAGGCTGCATTACTGTATGGCGTAGAGTGTTGGGCGGTGAAACAATGTCACATTCAAAAGATGAGTGTGGCAGAGATGCGCATGCTGCGTTGGATGTGTGGGCATACTAGGAAGGACCGTGTGAGGAATGAGACAATCAGACAAAGGGCGGGAGTAGCACCTATTGAAGACAAGATGCGGGAGTCGCGCCTACGGTGGTTTGGTCATGTGCGTAGAAGACCGAGTGATGCACCTGTCAGACGAGTTGAGATGTGTGGAGAAGAGGCAGGGAAGAGAGGGAGAGGAAGACCCAAACAGACGTGGGTTAGGGGAGTTTGAAGTGATATGCTTCTTCTGGGGTTTGATGAGGGCATGACTTTGGAGAGAACTAAGTGGAGGGCAGGTATTCGCGTGAAGGAGTGATCTCGTATAATCGTTTTCCTTCATCTTTTTTTCCTTGTTTTTTATCCTTATATATATATATAAGCATTATTTGTAGCCTTTTTATTTTATCATTTTTATGTATATTCATCTCTTTTTATATTCTTTTTATAATAGCTTATCTTTTTTATCTTTATTTTCTTTCTTTTCCTTTTGGTTGTGATATCATGTATTGATTCTTGTTAGCCGACCCCAATATCTTTTGGGACTAAGGCTTGGATGTTGTTGTTGTGTTGTTGACATGAGGCTGCATAAATCATTCATCAACAGGGTGCACGTGTCCCGACACAATGTTTTGAGATATACAAGTTTGGGCATTTCTGTTTCCTGTCTTGTATTCACCATCACAAATTGGAAGGTAAAGCTTTAACTAAAAGAGGGTTTGCATAGAAAATAGATTTGGATTTAGATTTAGCTCTATACCGTCATACATGGTTTTCATTGATCTAATTTATATATTTATGGAACTGTTTTTAATTATAAATTATCATTTGTACCCTTTTATAGGCAATGCAGTATACGTCTCCAAAAGCTATTTGGAACTTTTTATTTGGAGTCAGCAGCCCTCCTTTTGGACAAAGTGAAGGTCTGGCGTTTGCAAATTCTTTTTGCTTGCTTCATGCCTACTTTTCAAATTGCAATATTTCCCAGTAAACGAATCGAGACTTAGTTTTATTTTCATTTAATTATTCTGTTTAGCTGCTTTATAAAATGGATTCTAGCTGAAATAAAAGAAATTCATTAAACTTATTCATACTGCAGACTCATCTCGCACACAGAGAATTGAACAGCTCATAAACTATATTTCTGATGTAGAGGCCAGGCAAGTATATACCCTTAGTTTATTATTGTTCATGATAGGAAATAGTTACCTGCTTTACGCTGAAACCTCACTTATGCCCCTTGTTTGATACTTCACATTTTCGACCAACTTGACTTTCTTCTTATCTCAAATTTCAATTATCGACATCTGCAAGGAAAAATACAACTACTGTGCCAGAGTTCCCAGCTAAATTAGATTGGCTTAATACTGCCCCTCTTCAGCTCAGCCGGGTAAATTAATATCCCATCTTTCAATTCTCTTTATATTGTCATATTTGATGGTTGTAGTACAAAAGTTTAGAAAGGATTTGAGTGTAACTTTCAGCCGTAACTCAGTTTTTCATCTTTTTACTTGACAGGATTTGAGAGGCAAGGTCGTTCTTCTGGACTTTTGGACATACTGCTGTATTAATTGTATGCATGTGCTGCCAGATCTGAAATTTCTGGAGAAAAAGTATAAAGAAATGCCTGTACGACTACTTTTTCTTGGTTCATATTTCAACCATTGATTCCATGGTTTTCTTTTTGATTTACAATGCTCCTGACTTGTACTTGTCAATCCACCATTGTATAGTGCATTTCCTTCCCAACCATCAAGTTCTTTGAATCTCTCCACGCATATATCATTTGATCGTTTCACCGCATAAATTATCTAGCTATAGTATGTACTCGTTACACTATTAAAAGGAATGGCGTTCATTCTAAATTTGTAACCATGGGCTCTTGATTCTCTATGTCTACACTAATATGTATTGAATTCATCACAAACTACTAATATGTAGTTTGTGATTATTAAGGTTGGTTTTTGATAAATCAAATCTAAGAACCATGAATATCATTTTTTTAAAATTAAATCTGCAGAAACATGAAAGAATCTACATAAGAAATAATGTAAAAGAATGTTTAAACTAGCCTACAACAGCAAGAGACCAGAGGTGGCAAGCATTTTTTAATTATTTATACTAGATCTGAGTTCAACGTTTTGTGATCATATGCCCATAAACACACATACATTTATTTATATCGGGAATTTCCAAAAAAAGAGCAGGGGCGGCTGCCACTATGTGTGCATGCATGCATGTGTGTGTGAGCGCGAGCTTGCGTGGGCATTAAATATTGTGCTTGTTGCAGAAGAAGGAAAATTTGAGAGTAAAAATTAGTATTTCTGTCAATGTGTGCACTGTGCAGTCCCTGTCCCTGTTCCCAAATAGATATTTTGTATGTACAGTAAATTCATGAGCCAAATAGATAATTCATAAATGGTTAGTCTTTCAGTTTGTTGTCGTGGGTGTGCATTCAGCAAAGTTTGACAATGAGAAAGACCTAGAAGCTATTCGCAATGCAGTGTTGCGCTATGAAGTCACTCACCCAGTAACTTCCTCACCTTGCAGTTCTTTTTTCTTGTTAAATCTTTGTGTTAACTTTTAGCCCATGACATATTGAACGTGTGGTCCCTTTGCATATCTAGGTTGTTAATGATGGAGAGATGAATTTATGGAGAGAGTTAGGTATAAATTCCTGGCCCACCTTTGCTGTTGTTGGGCCAAATGGAAAGCTTCTTGCACAAATTGCTGGTGAGGGTCATAGAAAGGTATACAAACAGGCTTTTATTTTTGCTCTACTTTTCCCAACAATATGGCTCCATCAATTGCATAATTAAATTAAGCTGAACCCAAACTGCAAATGTAGATAGTGAAAGTAGTATGATCAATGTTTAATTGAATTATATACTAAAATAAAACCAATAAGATATAGGATATAGTTTATTCATTTGATTGTAGATTTCTCTTACTTTTGCTTGTTCAAACACACGGTTTTGTATTTTAACTGGCTGCAAATTAGTGTAGTTTGGTAAATAGAAAGAAAATGTTCTAGACATATAGTTCATTGTTTCCTGTAAAATTACTTCATAGAGTTTTTAACTTCTCTCGAGTCTGTAGCATTTCAAACATGGTCCTGAAGTAAAAGGGAGTACTATTTGTACATGTCACTAGCAATCCCAGATCTCATCTATCTTGAACCAAGCCAAGTTTTTCTATGCATTTAACATTGAATAGATTTTATTTACTTAGTTAAGTTACCAACTGATTTTGAAAGTATTTGCCTTCAGCTCGTCCTTTTACCAAGCACATGATCTTAGTTTTATCTTGATGGCTTTGTTTCCATCCCATAGTTACTTTTCCGTACTGAAACATGCATCCCATAGTACATATTCTGTTAAACTTTGTGTTTTATTGGTTTTTTCAAATGTCCTTCTTGACAATGAGAGATGTTTGAATGAGACTGCTAAGCACAATACGGTCGCAGTAGAACTATAATAAAGTTCAGTATTTAATGAATTTAAGAAATACGGTTATCTTTTTCCTGCTACTGTGAATAGCTTGCTGCTCTTCATAGTAATAATAATATTAGTCACGTCATTGAGTTATTTATTGATTTACTTATTTATTCATCGGCATGTACCAAGGATCTTGATGACTTAGTTGAGGCGGCACTTCTTTTCTATGGTAGAAAAAAACTATTGGATAGTAGTCCCATTCCTTTGAAATTGGAGAGAAACAATGATCCCTACTTGTTAGCATCCCCTTTGAAATTTCCGGGTAAACTGGCAGTTGATGTTCTCAACAACCGTCTGTTCATTTCCGACAGCAACCACAACAGAATTGTACACACACTCTCTCTCTCTATCTTCTGTATGTGTGTTTGTAGGCTTATTCTATATCAGGTTCTCAGCTTTTCCTTCCCAAATAAAAGTGAAACACGTTGAACTGTGCTGGCAGATGCAAAAAGTATTGTGCATAACTTGTTATCGTCCATTTGCGGGTATTTCAGGAAAATGCCAATTGGGGAACATAGTTTTTTCTTGATTCTTGGAAATGTTTGTTTACTGATATGTGAACACACTGCGGGGGGATTTTTGACTTTCTAAGATGCACTTGTGATGTGAGCTGTTTTTCTGCAGACTCACATTTTAATTTTTTATTCATCACAAAATATTGCAAAGCTAGTTATGATATTGTAAACATAAATGTATTGCTTCCCTGTACCTTCTACTCAGCCTGGTACATGTTGGGGTAGTGTTTGTGAGCAGCATGAATTTTCCCTAGACTAGTAGTTGGACTTGGGACAAACGTTAAGCATATACTGGCGCCATGTGCTTACATACCTAATGAACAACTTCGATGACTATGAAAACCATTGCTAGTCTGCCACCTACAGAAAGAAATTATCTGTTCTTCAACTTGCGTCTATGTTTTGAACCAACAAAATATCTAGTATTACTTTAATCTAATGAACAACTCTGATGACTGTATGAAAACCATTGCTCATCTGCCACCTGCAGAAAGAATGATCTGTTCTTCTCATTTTGTATTATTTCATTTTACTCTGCGTAGTCTTAGACTAATTAATCTTGGTGGTATACTGTTACTTTTATCTCTGTAACACAGGTAGTTACTGACCTTGAAGGGAGCTATATTGTTCAAGTTGGTAGCACAGGGGAGGAAGGTCTTCATGATGGTAATTTTGATGAGGCGACTTTCAATCGACCACAGGTAATGTCAGTTGGATTATCCACATCATAGTTTCTGAAAATGTTGTTTTGAATGTTGCTCCCTCTACTTTTGATTGCATTCAGTGATTTGAATGGTATGTCTTTTCACTGCTGAAATATAAGAGAAGTTGGGGTTGCGTTTCACAAATCACGACTTTGAATAGACATTTATATGGGAAAGTGGTTCTCATGTAATTTTGCAAAGTAGTTTGGGTTTGAATGAGTATATGGCTTGCATATAAATACTCAAACACCTTAATGTTTGTTCTCGGAGAAGTTGTCATTATTCTTAGACTGGCCTTAATATAATGACCTACTTGAGCTGATTTTCTTATCCCCCCCTCATAATTTGATTTCCAGAGTCTCTGTCTTTTTTATGTCAATGTTTGTTAACTCTGTTCTGTGCAGGGTCTATCTTACAATGCAAAGAAAAACCTTCTTTATGTGGCAGATACAGAGAACCATGCTTTGAGGTACTACTGCCTGGGGAATTTTATCTGGTTACAAGAGTTTATTTTACGAGCATTTTATTAGATTTTAAGAAAATTTTACCCCCAAGCCATCTTCCATTTTCTTGTATGCTTCCTTTACTATGGATGCTTATGTTGAGTTTGAAAAACTCCGCCATGAGATCATTTTTGGTATCATGTCTGTTCCAAGCCGAGATAAAGGAGGGTGCTGTGATAGACGCATGACGGTAAACAGTATCACTCAGTCACATCACATAACATGAATCAATTAGCTGACTCCAAAATCTTTTGAGACTAAGGCTTGGATGTTTTTGTTATGTTGAGTTTGAAAAGTCAAACCCGAAATCCGCATTGAACTTCTGTACTTTGTTCGAACAATTAATCATCATCTAAATATCAAATTTTGTATGTAGTTCAATTTTTTGATCATATAAATGACGTTTGATAAAAATCAGAAAAGGTAATAGAAACTGATGGTTATTACATCTATCAACTGAATTGAAACTGTATGAATTTCATGGGCGTTGATCATGTTTGTTCCATTACTTGTAAAATGTTCTTCGATCCAGCAAAACAATCTAACAGAGAAAAACAGACAAAGTTAGGCGAGTATATTTAGTTCGGTATGAACTAATCAAGTGGGTATAATTCCCACCTTGTCATATTAAAAATGTACAAAATCTTAATTGTTTTTCATCATTTGCAATGGAGCCAAAGACTCACTATTTTTTGGCTTTGGGAATATGATGGAATAAAGCAAAATGGCTCACTAAATTGTCTGCCCTTGTTTGTTATGAAGCAGCAGTCAGTCCATGCAATTTTGACGTGATTTTCTTTATGGGTCATCCGGAAACAGTCTCTTTGTGCTTTAGTACAAGGGTAAGGTTACGTACATCCGACACCCCCTTAACTCACCATAGGTGGGAGCCTTTGCGGCACTGGGGTAGTGATGATGATGATGACCAAATCTTAATTGACATGTATCCTACTTGGATTTGGCATTTCTATTTTAGGTGATATTAGGTTACAACTTGTAATGTCAGTTTTCAAGGATAGAGGAAATATATATTTTTCCTTATCTTCCAGAGGCTACTTGTTGTTTAGATGAAACCACTAAGCTAAACTTGTTCAGTTAAGTACCTGGCTCTTATTTTTCTGCAACATATTTTACAGTTTGGCACGGTTTTGCAATTATAATATGTTGAAAATGTAAATAATTTACTTTATTCTTTGTTTATATTTTCCTTTTCCATTATGTGTTATTTATTTCACTAGTCTTTTCAATTTTATTCCCTTCATAGACTGTTATTTATTTTATTGTCATTATTTTTCTGCATCTAAATAGATCAATTTTATTCTCATAGCACTTGCAACTTTTATGCAAAGCAGAGTCATTGATTTCGTAAGTGAGTCAGTAAGGACCATTGCCGGGAATGGAACAAAAGGTTCTGATTATGAAGGGGGACAAACAGGAACTACTCAGGCAAGATTTGTACACTTAAAATAGTGATATACTCCATCCCAAAATCGTAGTCCCATACCACTATCAGATTTGAGGTTTCACTGATAAAAATTGAGTTTGAATATGATAAAAAATTGATATACTACGTATAAAATTAGAGATCAAAAGCGATCTGTGTTGGCACTATCATTTTGGCACAGTGGTAGTAGATCTTAATATACAATTGAGCAATGGTTTATATTGCAATGGAATGAGATATTGAATGAGATTGTATACATTGCAATGGAATTGCAGGCTCTCAATTCTCCATGGGATATCTGTTTTGATCCTGAGAATGAGATTGTATACATTGCAATGGCCGGTCAACATCAGATCTGGAAGCATTATACATTAGAAGGCGTAACAAAAGCTTTCAGTGGTGATGGTTATGAGAGGAACTTAAATGGGTCAAGGTAATATTCGTGTCTTTTTCACAAATACATATTTTTGTCTCCAAATACTATATATGACAAAAACATTAAGTTGGTGATGGTTAAGAAAGGACTTTAAATGGGTCAAGGTAGTGTGTGTGTTTGTCTGTTTGTTCATAATTACATTTTTTTCATTTCTAAATACATTTTTTTATTCATGTTTAGTTTCTATGCATCGAGTGTCTTTTTCTTTAGTGGTCATTAATGCTTATGTGCAACTGAAAAATGAATGAGTTGATATGGGTTGTAGCACACATTGTCAGGTATTCAATATCTCGGCCCAACACTAACTAGTACAAGTGTATAACACATGAAGAACACATGAAGAACAATCTAATAATAAGGAATTATGAACAACACAAACCGGTATAGTACTTGGAAGAATACATGAAGAACAAGCTCATAGTGAAGAATATTGCTTGAAAGAGTTATGGAACTGTAAGTTTTAGGAATAAAACTTCCTTGATTGAATAAGCCAAACGGCCAGGGTATAAATACACTTTGTACAGATAACTACTAACTAGTACAAATCCTAAAAAATAGGATCTTGATAACTACAAAGCTTATCTACAACTAACTGCATCTATTCTAGTCTTTCCGACTAAATATGTACATCAATTTAATCAGAAAAAATAATGTAACATTTTCTACACTCCCTCTCAAGTTGGTGAATATATATCATACATTCCCAACTTGCTCATAAGTAGCTCGAATATAGGTCTAAATAACCCTTTGGTGAAGATATCAGCTATTTGATCTTTAGTAGATACAAATGGTGTGCAAATGATTCCAACTTCAATCTTCTCCTTAATGAAATGTCTGTCCACTTCAACATGCTTAGTTCTATCATGTAGCACAGGGTTATGAGCAATGCTTATAGCAGCTTTATTATCACAATACAACTTCATAGGCAGCTCAATCTCCATCTTCAGTTCTGTGATTACTCTTTTGATCCAGAGTAATTCACATATTCCATTAGCCATAGCTCTAAATTCTGATTCTACACTACTTCTAGCAACCACATTTTGTTTCTTACTTCTCCAGGTTACTAGATTTTCCCATACATAGGTACAATATCCAGAAGTAGATCTTCTCTCAGATATCGAGCCAGCATAATCTGCATCAGTGAAAGCTTCAATTGTCCTACTGTCTCCCTTTTTGAAAAACAATCCCTTCCCTGGACAGCTCTTCAGGTATTTCAGAATTCTGTAAGTAGCACCCAGATGTTCTTGGAGAGGATGATGCATAAACTGACTCACCATACTTACTGCAAATGCAATATCTGGCCTTGTGTGTGCCAGATATATTAATTTTCCCACCAACCTTTGATATTGGTAAATATCAACCAGAATTCCCCCCTTGATATCTCCCAATTTCTGACTTGGATCAATTGGAGTGTCTGCTGGTTTGCAGGCACTCATTCCAGTTTCTTGTAGAAGATCTAGGATATATTTTCTTTATGAGACAACAATACCTTCTTTGATCTAGCTATCTCCATTCCTAGATTTTTTTTTAAATTTCCTAGGTCTTTGATCTCAAATTCATGAGCAAGTTTGTCTTTCAACCTTTTAGTCTCTGTGTGATAATTTCCTGTGAGGATAATATCATCTACATAGACACTTAAGATTGCAATCTCCCCCTTACCTGAAAACTTCATGTATTGTCAGCTTGAGCTTGATTAAATCCTTGCTTCTTTATGAACTTTGTGAACCTGTCAAACCAGGCTCTTGGAGACTATTTAAGTCCATACAAAGCCTTCTCTATCTGCAAACTTTTGACCCAAACTTATTTTTAAACCCAGGAGGAGGTTCCATGTACACTTCTTCTTCAAGTTTCCCATTTAAAAAAGCATTCTTCACATCTAGTTGTTGTAGTGGCCAGTCTAAATTGGCAGCAAGGGATAAAAGAATTCTTACAGTGTTTAACTTTGCAACTGGTGCAAAGGTTTCTGTGTAGTCAATTCCATAGGTCTGTGTGTAACCCTTGACAACTAGTCTTGCCTTGTACCTCTCAAAACTTCCATCTGCCTTAAACTTGGGAGTGAAAATCCACCTGCAACCAACTGTAGGTTTGTTTTTAGGTAACTCTACAAGCTTCCATGTTTGATTCTTTTCAAGAGCCTCCATCTCCTCCAAAACACCTTTCTTCCACTCAGGTTTAGATAGAGCATCTTGTATGGTTGAGGGAATAGAAATAGAAGAAATATTGGAAGTAAAGACTGCAAAAGCTGGGTTTAATTTAGAATAAGAAACATAGTTTGAGATGAGGTATTTAACACATGTTCTTCTCTCTTTTCTGAGAGCAATTGGAAAGTCAAGGTTGCTAGGAGTATTACCTTTTTCACTTCCTGGTATTGAGTCAGAATCATGGACAGTTGTAGGTTCTTGGACTTCTTCTATTCTTTGATTTCTAACCCTTCTCTCATAAACTTTGTCAAAGAACTGACTTGTCTGTTGATCTTTTTCAATTGGTTCAGTTGTATTTACTTCATTATTTTTCATTTCTTGATCATTTTCAGATGTACTGTTATTTCTAAACGTATGATCATCCAGATTAATATCAAGAAAATTAAGGTTTTCATGAATATGTTGGATTATTGGAACATCTTCACTTAATTTCTCCCTGAGGATGAGAATAAAAAAAGGCTGTTCTTCCACAAAGAAGGTATCCATTGTAACGACCATTGTTTTGGTTGTAGGATCAAAACATTTATACCCTTTTTAGTGACAGAAACACCTAGAAAAACACATTTTTTTCCTCTAGGATCAAACTTACTGGCAGATCTATTGTGCAACCAAAATTTTTTAAAGGAAGGGTGTTTACCAATCTATTTGTAGGAAAGAAGTGTTGTAGTGAACTGATAGGACTTTTAAATCCTAAAGTTTTGAATGGCATGCAATTAATTAAATATGTAGCATGTAACACAGCCTCTCCCCACAAATATTTTGGTATGTTTGTTGAAAACATGATTGCACGAGTGACTTCAAGCAAATGCCTATTTTTCCTTTCTGCAATTCCATTTTGAGCTGGTGTATTGACACAAGAGCTTTGATGGATAATGTCTTTTTGAGTAAAAAAATTGTTCAAAGTTTGAGAAAAATATTCACAGCCATTATCACTTCTTACCATTTTATATTTGGTATTGAATTGAGTTTGGACCATAGTATAAAATTCCCTAAATATTTTCTCAACTTCAGATTTTTCTTTGATTAAAAATACCCATGTGACTCGTGTATGATCATCAATAATAGTTACAAACCATCTCTTTCCCTTTAAAGTTGGTATTCTAGATGGACCCCAAATGTCACTATGTACCAAGGTAAAAGGATTAGTAGGTTTATAACTTTGGGGTAGACAAGTGTTTCTGTGATGTTTTGAAAGTGCACACATATCACAATTAAACAAAGAAGCATCTTTATTCAGAAATAATTGAGGAAACGTCCTTTTTAAATAATAGAAGCTAGAGTGTCCTAGTCTATAATGAAGTAAATACAAATCTTTATTATTTGAAAAAGAAACAGTTTGCAAACACGCATTTCTTGGACCTCTTTTATTTGATTGAGTTTCTCCATCAAAGATATAGAGTCCATCCTCCTCCTTAGCACTGCCAATCATCTTCCCCGATGCCAGGTCCTGAAAAATGCAATAAGAAGGATAAATAATAACACAACAATGTAGATCTTTAGTTATTTGACTAACTAAAGCAAGATTGCAGGATAGATTAGGGTCATGAAGGACTTTGGATAGATTCAGAGATGAGGGAATACTAAGATTGCATGAGAAGTTGCTGAGATTCTTTCTGGTTTGGATTATCTCCTGAGTCAATACTAAGATTCTGGTTTGGATTCTTTCCGGGAATTTTGGGTTTTCTGGGAATGTAGGAGGGTAAGAAGTTGCTCTATCTGCTCCCGAGTGAATGAAGGCTGATTGAACTTGACTTGTGGTTCTTGTTGAGTCTCAGTCACAGTTGTTTGTAGGGTCTTCTCACTTTTTTCTTTCCTGCTCCTGTTGGTTTGCCATGAATTTTCCAACAAGTCTCCCTAGTGTGCCATAATTTCTTGCAGTGATCACATCAAGGTTTTTTCTTGTCATCACTCCTAGCCACCATTGCTGAAGAGTCCCTAGATTCCTCATTATGTACTGGAGTGTTGTACATAACTTTCTTCCTACTGTCTTCCAGCCTGATTTTTTTCCAAGTATTCTTCCCTTAACTTCATTGCAGGGTAGAGGTTTTTCCCTTAAAAATCAGAAAATACCTCCCTGATGGAGGGTTGAGGTTTTTTTCCAAGTATTCTTCCCTTAACTCATCTAGGTCTCTATTAATTCTTGCTAGGAACATATAGACCCTATCATTTTCCTTCCTTTTTTTGTATCTTGCTAGATCATTGGCATTCTCCCACTTCACATCATCATAGTATTGATCCAACTCTTGCCATAGGGATACCATCTCATTATAGTAAGAGATGACATCTCTATTTCCTTGTTTGGACTGCCACAACTTGGTTTTTAATTCAAAAATCTGAGAAGAGTTCTCAAGATCTGAGTAAGTTTCCTTAATTGAATCCCATACCTCCTTTGCAGTTTTCATGAACATGTGAGGTTTGGCAATTGATGCATCCATTGAACTGAGAAGCCAGACTGTCACCAATGAATTTTCTGACATCCAGATACTCTAGCCATCATCACCAGTTTGTTTCTCCTTCATTTCACCAGTTATGTACCCTAGTTTGCCCCTTCCATTAATTGTCAGCTTGACAGACTGTGACCATTCGAGATAATTTGTGCCATTCATTCACTTGAATTTACCGATTTGAATGAAATTGCTTGAGAAACTACTCCCAGCAACTCTTTATTTATAAGGCAAATAATTACAAGGAAAGAATCATATGCACATCAATCGGTAATTAATTCCTGATTTGATACAATCTGTACAATAAATACTAAAATCAGGAAGGAAATCATATCAAATCTCAACACTCCCC